AATCTACCCTCCTCTTTTTATTTCCTAAAAATGACTTTTCCCCCCTGTCTTCAGTCTGTGGCATTTCTCCCATTCTCTACAAGCCTTCGAAGATCACAGGCAAGTGAGTCATCTATCATATCTGCCAGTCTTTTCAAAACCCAGATTTATAGTTAGTTTTTCTAGGCCTTGATGACTTGAACTCATCAAGGATTGTTAGGTACTTAACCATATTTTCATCATCTTGCTAGCCGGTTTTCTTTGCTCATAATGTGATAATAATAACTAGCATTCATATATTGCTTTGAGGTTTTCAAAATGCTTTACAAATTTTATTTCCTTTGATTCTCACAACTCTGGGAGGTAGGGGCCATTATTATCTCCATTTTACACATAAGAGAGGTGAGGGAGATGGTGGTTAAATGACTTGGCTAGGGTCACACAGTTAATGAGTCCTTGAGTCTGGATTTGATGTCAGATCTTTCTGATTTCAGGTCCAGCACTGTATCCACTGGACCACTTAGATGCCCTTATGAAATATTGTTTTTCTATCCCGTTTCTTCTCCTGGGAAAAGAAAAGGGAAGCAAAATGTGGGTGGGATAGTCCTGCCTTGGTATGCTCTTCCACACTGTTCACTGTGTTTTTCCAAGACTATCCTTTCTTTGTTTTTCCTTTTGCCCCAGTGTAGCTTTTTTTGGTCATATTTAGCATGAACTACTTATCTTAGATCATTTGGGGCTGCAGGGCTCCTGAAATTAATTTTTTTTGGACTGAACCTGTGGTTTTATTGGTATATGTAAGTCCTGATGGGAAATTCCTTCTGCCAGTGCAGTGACAACCTGCTTTGCAATGCACAGTCTCAGCAAGTTGCCCAGGGGCACTTAGAGTTTAAATAGCCTGCCACGGGTCACATAGCCAATATGTGACAGAGGCAGGATTTTAAACTAGGTTTTCCAGACTGCAGAGAATTACACCATACTGCCTCTCATTATTCTTATTACTTTTCTATTTGCTTGTTTTTATTCTCAATAATTTGGACTTGCTGCTACCCTCATACATGGCATTTTAAAATATAAGTTGGTCAGTGGACTCTTTACGGAGGTACATTGCTTGACAAAGCCATTTTAAAAACCTACATGTTCTAAGTGATTTGTCAGCTAGGCAATGCACCAGGATAGGATAGAAGATCAGGCCTGGAGTCAGGAAGACCTGAGCTCAAATCTGGCTTCAGACATTCACTGGCTGTGTGATCCTGGGCAAGTCACGTAACCTCTTCAGTCTCCTCATTTGTAATTGGGGATAATAATAGTACCTACCTCCCAGGGTTGTTACGAGGATTAAATAAGATGATAATTGTAAAGTGCTTAGCACAGTGCCTGGCACATAGTAAGTGATGATTATTATCATTATTCTTCTTCATACAAATAATTTTGGTTTATCTTCAGAATTTCATTCTGGAGAGTTTTTTCTCCCTCTTGGGCCTTCTACTCATGTAACACTGCAAGGCATTCTATCCTACCTATTCTTTCTCTTAACACATTTTATAGCTTCTCGCTACAAATGAAGGCAAAATGTCCTACCACCCAAGATTTTCTTCCACTCTGTAACAGATTTCAAGATGGAATGGACACTTCCCCCTCAACCCCATAATGTCTCATCATTTCCAGTTCTTCAACCAGCTGCTCTTTCTCGTAAGTGGAAGCTCAGTTGCCCTTGTGGATTCTTTCATTTTTTTTTTTGAGGAACAGAAGGATCATTAGGGCAGGTCAAGACTTTCTTAGCTCTTCTACTTTCGGTGGATCCTTGTCTTGTCTATATGCTGGCAGTAGCTTACTCAGCTGCAATTAGTACATTCCTGCCAAGGATTAATGGAGAAAGAAGCTGTCCTCTAGGAATTCAATTACCATTAAAGTTTGAATTAACTCTAATTACTCACCTTTTTCCTTTTTCTTCTTCTTCTGCCCCTCTCCCCACTAAAGTTCAGATACCTCCTTGGCTTTTCTGGAGTTTTAAACTGGGGATGAAGCTGAATTTATGTATTGCAGACTTCCTGTCTTATCTCACAAGTCAAGGCTCTTACACAGCTTCCTTAACCCAGTCTAGCCCTCATTTCCTCCTAGTCTATTGTCAAGTAGCCCGGAACCCAAAGTAAGGAAAAGACTATAGAGCATAAAGCAAATACTCCATTCACGAATAATAATTTGCTGCATCATTTTAACTCTTTCGTGTAATTATTGGAATCAGAAGTCTACATGGTTAGAAAGACAAGTCCATTAATTTTCTCTATAAGCATTCTAGAACATAATATATTTAAATCTTTCAGGTTACAAGCTGTCAGGTAGACTACTGGGCTTTTCAAAAGGAAGAGTAAGGTGTATATAAAAATGAAAAGAGAAGCTACAGACTCCCTCTTCCTAGAGCTGGGATCTGTTAGGTGGAAAGCAGCGGGTTCTCAAGAGCTTCCAGGCCAACGGGAAATGTATCTCAAACTTTAGAACAGGCATGAAGACTCCCAGAATAATGTGATCCTCTTTTTCTTCTGTGCTCATCTTTCCTTGTGCAACATATACTAATGTTCCATTCAAACTAAGTTTGTTAATACATAGTGCTTTGAGATTTGCAAAGTGCTTTACATGTTAATTCATTTGACCATCACAACAATTCTTTGAGGTAGATGATAATATTATCCTCACTTTTTTATAGATTAGGAAACTGAGTCATGGAGAAGTCAAGTGACTTACCCAAAGTTACATAGCTAAGTATGTGTCTAAGCCAGGATTTGAACTGGAGTCTTTTTGACTAAAAGTCCTTCACTCTATCCACAATATCATGGTATGGCAATGATGCTGAAGTCTTTTTGTTTGTCTGTTGGACTAAATTATTTCACTGGTATAGAGAACATACTTGAAGAAACCACCTGAATTAATGCAGATGGACTCCTTTTTTTTTTTTTTGAGGCAATTGGGGTTAAGTGACTTGCCCAGAATCACACAGCTAGTAAGTGTCTGAGGCTAGATTTGAACTCAGGTCTTCCTGACTCCAGGTTCAGAGCTCTATTCACTGTGCCACCTAGCTGCCCCACCCTAACCAAAAAATATCTGTAATGTGTTCAGTTACAGCCACTGTAGAGCTTCCAGAATGGGGTGAGCAGGGTGACAAGAGGACACAGAACCATGTCATATAAAGCAGAGGGGAAGGAACTGCAAGAAGAGGGGTAGGGTTAACCTGGAGAAGACTTAAGGAGAGCAAAATTGCTGTCTGCAAGTGTGGAAGGAGTGCCACTTGCTCTGTAAGTTGGACTGGTCTCTTAAAGGGACGGGAAGGTCATTTGGCTTCCTTGCTACCTGAGGCTTAAAAGGCCCAGCCTACAGGTAGTGGAGGGAGTTGGTGTAGGTGATTTTAGCTGAATTCCCACTGCCCCAGAGACTATCTTTCTGACCCAATATGGCTGGTTGCTATGGTTAAAGATGCAACAGAGGGGAAAAGCTTTTTTTATTTAATTTGCTATCTTTCCAACCTTAAAAATAGTATCCTATTTGTATTATCCTAGTAAAGTCATTTTTATTGCATTCTATGATCCCTGAATATCTCATTGCACTTAAACTCTGAAAGTTAACTGAGTGAAGCCTAGCCCAGGATTATCAAATATGGGAAGGGTAGAAAAGAGATGATATTTATTTTGCCTGGACCCAGAAGGAAGAGAGAAGAAATAGATCTAAGTTAACAGCTAAACAATTTGAGGTTTGCTATAAGGAATAACTGCCTAATAACTAGACTTGTTCAAAAGTAGGATGGGCTGCTTTGAAAGTGGTGAGTTTTACATCACCGGAAGTCCTCAAGTAGAAACGAGATGACCCCTTACCACAGAACTTGTCAAAGGGATTCCTGCTCATATAAAAGTCAGCCTAAATCTTAGAATCACAAGTTTTAGAACTGGAAGGGATCTTAGAAACCACCCAGTGTCTAAACCATCATTTTACAGATGAGACAACTGAGTCCTAGAGATTAAGCAAATTGTCTGAGGTTATGTAAGTAAGAAGTGGCAGAACCAGGATTTGAATCCAGGTCCTGTGAGGTCCTTTCCAACTCTTTCCAATCTTTTGATTATTAGAGAATACCATGTTCATGCTGGTAGAGTGCACATCATCTCCACTAGACTAGAAAGTCCCCTGAGGACAAGGCCTATGACCCTGTACATCACTGTGACCTAGGAAATATAAGCATCCAATATTTAAATAGCTGTTGCTCCATCATCTCTGCATCTGTGATATTTTTTTTTTTTACTTTCCAGGATCATAACTTCCTTACCAAGCAAATGCATTGGCCTATTCTGCTTTCATGAACCTTGTTGATTGGATGTAAAGATATTTAGGTTCTCCTCTTGCCTGCTGCTTTTGTCATAATCAGCTCTTCTTTTTCTGTGATTTTTTTTTGTGCTTCCACTCAGGGATAATACTTCTAGTTCTTAGTGTATAAACAATATAAACAATTATTTTTATTATAACACATAAGTTGCAGAGGAAAAAAAAACACATTTCTCCTTTTTTACCCATCTGCCCAGAGCATAAAGAAGATTATGAGCCAAAATATAATTATCTATTTTATTAGCCAACATATATCTAAAATACAATATTAATTTTTTCTTTAAGTTATGGTATATGTTCTCTGAATGGAAATATAATCTGTATTATAACTATAATTAAAATGTTTTTATAGATAATGCTTAATTCAAAATTCACAAAAACATTATCTGTTTAAAGATTACATGGCTATAAACATGTAAGAATTTTTAAAAATCATATTTCAATATCTTAAATGTAACCTCTTGGGATTACTATTATTAATTCTGCCTTCTTACACTTTATATTGATGCAATTTAATCACTTATTGGAGGTTTGTCTTCAACTTTTCTGCTTTGCTATATTTTAAAAACAGCTCTAGGGTTTATAGCTCTATTCACTCATGTGCCCTATTGCATGGGAAGGAAGGCGCAATTCTACTATTCCTTATCATTGGTTGCTTGTCACAGAAAAAGCATTGCTATCACCAAAGCACCAGGTCAATGTCACTTTGCCAAGCATTGCACATGGGTCTGCGCTTGTAGGTTATTGGGTTCACACATTAAGAACATCTTAAGTTGATCTACAACTTTTTTTACGTTTTATGAGAAAGAATGTCTGGTACAAAAACAAAAAAACGGAGACTAGTGGAGATGCTGCCAGTGTACAGACTGATATTGTGCTTAGCTAGAGGGTCATTGCTCTAGGACATCAAGAATTGAAAGATCTTCTAATTGTCCTGCCAGAAAGGGGCTGAACGGGGCGCCAGTTGCCCACCATGTGTTTTGCAGGACTTTCACCAGCAGCAGTGAAATAAAGGCTGTAGAATTTTGCCATCTGGAAAACAAAAAGGAAAAAAAACCACATTAACTTTCAGCAAGGTGCTCAAACTGGGCTGCCATAGCTGGAGGCTCCGATTTCCACAGGCTTCAAAACCTTTGCCAGTAATTGCACAATCCCCAGTACCAAGCTGGGTGCCCTGTACTTAGTAGCTACTTAATAAATATTTGATTTTTAAAATTATGTATTGTGGACTTAATCGGAGAGTGATAAAAACACTTTTATAAGAAACTGTGAAACTTTTGCATTGTGGTATATGATTGTGATGGAATACTACTGTGCTATGAGAAATAATGAACTAGACGATCTTAGAAAAATATGGATAGACTTTCATGAAGAGCAAAATGAGCAGAATCAAGCAAATGTTGTATACAATAACAACAATATTGTTTTAAGAACAACTTTGAGCAAATAAGTTATTTTGACTATTATAAATACCCAAATTAACCACAAAGGACACATAAAGGAAGATGCTATCTGCATCCTGAGAAAGAACTGAAAAATAGAAGTATGTATAGAATGATTTTATATATATATATACATATATATATACATATATATGTATATATATATACATATACATATACACACATATACATATAAATATGTATACACATATTTGTGTCTAATGGTAGCCATCTCTAGTGTGGGGGAGGGGGAAAAGGAAAAAAATTACATTATAATTTTATTATATATTTAAAAGGAATAGCAAGTATACATAATAGATTTGCAATTTCATGTGCAACATCTTTTTTTTATATTGTTATAGAAAATGCTTGTTTTATTCCATAAATTAAAAATAAAATAAATTTTAAAAACAAAATTAAATGCCTCACAGCAACTAGTATGTACTTTCAAATGCTGCTGCTAACTGAGAAGCATGAAAGACCTAGGTCTAAACTAAAAATCATTTTTTGGTGAGTTTAGACAAATCATGGCTTTCATTCCACAAGGTCTATTCTAGCTTTCTGTCTGGAGCATGGGTTTCTGAAATTGACAGTGACTATTTGGGGCTCACATCTAAATTTGCTTCAGTTCACTGATCACTAATATCTGCAACAAAAAAGGCATATCCAGAGAGAGGGCTTCCCTCAGCTATCACCATTCTTTATCAAAAGCTTTCCATTTTTCACCTTACTTTCAAAAGTATAAAATCCATCAAAACAGGGGCTAGGGCAGTGGAAGGACTACTTGTGCTCCAAAGACAGTGTTCCTGAGATGTGCACCTTTCCCCACCTTTCCTCATTGCGGATAACATCCTTCCACAACAACGTCAACTATGATGAATTTCATGTTGGTAGCACCTGGAAAGTCATAAAAATTTCTTCTATAGAAGAGAAAACGTAACCAGGGCATAAATTATAAAAAACTTAGGTGAATTACTATTATACTATCTTGGTATTATTCCATTAGTTTGACACAAGTTTAGAGTGTAAATATTTTTCTAAGCTCTCCATGTTTTCACAAAGCAATGGAGGGGTGGGGGAGAAGGACCTAGCGCTGGAGTCAGAAGACTTGAGAACTGCCGCTTCCTACCTGCCTGACATTGCCTGGCATCCACTTCTCTAGCCTTCAGTTTCCCTACCAGTAAAATAAAGTCATCAGCCTAGATGACTTCTAAGGTCCCCTTGTAGCTCTGAACCAGTAATTCTGTAATTCTCTAGCTTCAAATGCATTTATACCAGGGATGCAGCAATGGTTTAATATAAGGAAAAATATTGTCATAATTGATTACATTGTTAGTAATGTTATCGCATCTTGGGAACATTATAGGAAGCTGAGTCACTTTGCAATATTAGATATAGGATATTAGAAACAATAGGATGCCCCAGAACTACAACATTTTAAAACATTTGCAAGGAGTGAGTACCAAAATATTAAATATATATTGCTCTATTTACAAACTAGTCAAGACCTAAGCTAATGAATATTCTATAAAATGACTGATTTTCTATATTCTACACTCTGATTATATGTTCTGGCCCTAAAATACATTTATATATACTTATGTATATACTTTCCAAGATTATCTTAAAATCTGTATCAGTCTTTTGTAAAGTTACCAACTATAACATACCATTTGCATTTTTTAAATTCTTTTAGTAAGATGCTTCTTTAGATCAACTTGTCTGATATAAGCAGATCTATCAATAAGAAACATACCTGTTCCTGGCTCACATTGATGGGCTTTTGTACGACAATCCAAGTCACACATTCCAAGAGAGGAGGAGTGGTCAGTGAGCCCTGATAAGTATAAAATTCTAAGGACTCAGGAAGAAGACAAGTTGGGTCAAAATTAGTGAAGGCGGCCTCTTCGCCCTTAAACAAAAGAAAACAAAATATTTAAAATATCATAGAAGGAGCATATTCATAGATACAGATCTCTCCTCTAGCAATGATGCTCATTAAGTGAGGGTCCATATTTACTGAAAAACACAAAGAAAATAAACAGTATTTGAAAATATGGGCTGGTTTGATTTAGAAAGCATGATTTTTGAGATGTCTGTTTCATATCTTATCCTCTAAAATAATCCATTATCTTTCCCACTGGGTCATCAAATAGACCTTATCCAGTTCCAACCCTTAAGACACTTAAACATAGGAGACTAAAGTAATAGAGAGGGAAATAGTTATGTATGTCTTCAAAGGCAATATCAAGCCAGAATAAATCACAGTGATGGGTGGGAAATCTAAATTCTTACCCATTCCAATCACATTGGAATCTTGAGGTAAAGGAAAGTTGGTCACTGAATGTTGGGAATTAAAGTTTTTGAGCAAAGTCTGCAACCTTTATTTTAACTGATCAAAACCCTGCATGTTATATCTAAACCAAATAAGATGAGTAATTTGGGGATTTTTCTGAAACTAGATGGGGCAGAAAAAAAATCTAATGGGGCACCAACAAATATCAACGTCCCACCAAAAGACATCATCTTACCTTTGTTTGAATTTTACCCAGAGCATCAACAACTTTTTGAAGTCCTGGGTGAGCAGTTCCCAACTGTAATACAATACATGCAACAAAAGACTACGGTTTGTACGATTCCAGCTTCAACTTGCCAGATCAATGTAATGGAGAAAAAAATATTAGATTCCTAGAATATCCGACCTGATTGTTTTAACAGGAGTTTCTCATTGCCTTTTATGAACAAATAACTGTGGCCTGTGTTTAGATAGCCCAAAGTGAAATAAAGATTGTCCAGTTATGCAATTAAATTTAAGAATTTACTTTCCATCCTGAATTGTCCATTTCGGTGGTATATACTAATGAAATTATCCTGTGACTTTGACAAAACTTTTTCTACATTTTGCACTATTTAGACATAAAAAAGATAATTGGGGTTGGGGGTGGGGGGTGCATAAAATGTCTCAACACAATTAGGGTGTGAGAAGAGACCTGTGATTGTTGTCACAGATGAGAAAACTCCCTCTACCAACATAGGTCAGCTCCATCTCTGCAAGTTTTGGAGAGATGCCAAGAGTATTGGGAGAGGTTATGCGACTTGCCCTCTGTCCCAGAGCCAGTATTTGGCAGAAGGAGGAATGGAACCCAGGTTTTCCTGGCTCTACGCCCAAGCATTCTATCCTCTATAGCACTGAGGCCAACTTCATGATTCTAAACATCAGCAAAAAAAGAAAGAGGGATTCCATGGCATAACTACTATTTTAAAGTCTTAATTGCATAATTATCAAGAGAATTTACACTTAAACTCCTGATAGAATACAAGCAGGAGATGACAGGGGAAGGACTGCATCCGAATGAGAAGATCTACAACTTACTCTATGGGTGTGTGACCTCTGTAAACAGTGGCAGATAACCTCTCAACTCTAAGTTCTCATGTAGAAAATGCTGAATCCAAGGGCAATCCTGAATCTGATCATAAATTCAGATATTAAAAAGGATCTGGGAAGAGGGCAAAAGGTTTTCTCACTTGTGGACTTGTTTCCTTTCCATTAAAGTCTTATTCTGATGCACCATGCTGTGGAGGTGACACTGAATTTTTGAAGGCTATGCCTAGGTAGAACAAGCTTTCCCTAAGCACATGGAGACTAAATCAGTCAGTAAGCACTTATTAAGCACTTACTATATGCTAAGCTCTGCGCTAAGCATTAAGGTTACAAAAAGAGGCAAAAGATTGTTCCTACCCTCAATGAGCTCACAATCCAATGGGGGCGACAACAGGTAGACAAATATGTACAAACTATTAACAAGATAAACAGGAATTAATTAACAGAGGGAAGGCACTAGAATTGGAGGACTGGGAAAGGCTTCCGGTAGAAGATGGAATTTTAGTTGAGACTTGAATGAAGTCAAGGAATCCAAAAAAGGTATAGTTAAAGACAGAAAAGATGTAATATGGAACTATGTCTTGCATGACTGCATAGGTATAATCCATATCAAAGTGCTTGGCTTCTTAGGGAGGGTGGAGGAAAGGGAAGGATGAAGGGAGGGAATTTGGAACTGAAAAATATAATAAAAAATGAATGTTAGAAATTGTTTTACATGTAATTTGAGAAATAAATAAACAACATTCTTAAAAAAAAAAAAAGAGGAAGAGAAGGAGGAGGAAGGAGATCATTCCAGGCATGGGAGACAGCCAGAGAAAATAACCAGAATGAAGAGAAAGAAGGCCCTGTTCATGGAGTAGCAAGGAGGCCAGTATTACTGATTGAATACATGGTGAGGAGAGCAAGGTATAAGAAGACTGGAGAGATAAGACAGGAGAAAGGGGCAGATTGAGAAGGGCTTTGAATGCCAAAGAGGATTTTGTATTCAATAGAGGAGGTGATAAACGAGCCACTAGAGTTTGTTAAGGGGGGGGGGGGCACACTCAGACCTATACTTTTGGAAAATCTCTTTGGCAGCTGAATGGAGGATGGATTGGAGTGGGGAAGAGAAATCTGGCAGATAGACCAGCAGGCTATTGCAATAGTCCAAGTGTGAAGTGGTAAAAGCCTATATATCAGGCTGGCAGCAATATCTGAAGAGAGAAGAGGACATATCTGAGAGTTCAACATGCCTTGGTAACAAATTGGATATGAGGAGTGAGAGACAGTGAGAAATTGAGGATGATATCTGAATTGTAAGCCTGGGGAACTGGAAGGATAGTGACAGATTTCAGAAAGGCTTCAGTTAGTCCCAGTAATAGATATGTTATTTGAGAATTAACCTGGCTAATAATTATAACTCACATTTACGAAAATTTTAATGTTTACAAAGCACTTTCTTCAAGACAGTCTTATAAGGTAGATAATATAGATAACATATTGTATAGCATCCATTGTAGAATATATATTCTGGCATCCATCATACTTATGAGGAAACTGAGAGTCTGACTTGCAGATTTAAAAAAAAATTAGTACGTGACAGAGCCTTAATTCACACTCAGGTCTTCAGATTCCAAGTTCAGTGTTCTTTCCACTATTGTATGCTACTTCTAGGAACAGTTTATCATCAGTATTGGCCTCCTGCCACAGTAACTTGTGAAGATCATCTACTAAGGCAGGGGGAACAGGTTGTAATCCACCTCAGTAGAGGGAGTACTTACATTAATGAAATCACAGATCTTTCAAAGTAGTTGAAGGAAATAATCAGGCACAATAGCTTTTAACATTTAAGGCATTTCCTAAGTATTTTCATTAAGTGTTGTTTATGTGAGGTAGCGTGGATTGGGGGAGGGCTCCCTTACACTACATACGATTCAATATATTTCAAGAACATTACACAGAAACTAACCTCTAAAAAGATCCCAATGACAGCCAGTCCATCATCCTTGGTCACAGCAACCTTGAAACTCTCATACTTTGTATTCCAATGAACCAAATGAAGCTAAAGCCATCAAAGCACACAAAAGCATAAGAGTTAGCAAAATGAATGCTCAAGGTGATCCTAATCAATAGCATCTTTCTTTATGATAGTGTTTTTAGGCTATATGTAAAGCAATATTTAAAGAAAGGAATGGTGCAGATAATGGATATTTATACTATTAAAATATGTTCTTGGTTGTCATTTAGCAATTCATTCATTTACTCAATAAGCATTTAATAATACCTGATTTAACAGGACCTATTATATGTCAGGCCCTATGTTAGGTGCTGGGAATTCAAAGACAAAAATTCAACAGTTCTTGCCCGTGTGGAACACAGGTAATATGGAGGAGGAGAGAAGGGGGAGAACAGGTAACATATACACAGATAATTTAATTTAAAATATAGGCTAAGTAAATGCAAAGTAATTCCAAAGAGGAGGGCACAAATAATTGACAGAACAAGAAAAGGACTTATATACACTTAATTTTTCACTCTTTCTTTTATAAAAATAAATTTTATCAACAGTAATAATGAAGAGAAATCAAAACACTTTGGATGTAAATTAGATTACTTATTTCTCTTTCAAAATCATAGAGTTATAGAAGGTAAGAGCTGGACAGAACAATTAATCAATCAGTCAATAAACATTTATTAAATCCTACTATGTGCTAAGTACTAGAGATATGAGACACCCCCTGCCCTTAAGGGGCTTACAATCTAATGAGGGAGACAATATGCAAACAAATATATATATATATATATATATATATATATATATATATATATATACACACACACATATATATATACACACATATATATACATATATATATGTATGTATGTATGTATGTAAAGCACACAATATTTAGTATAAACAGGAAAAAATTAACAGCAGGAAGGCACTAGAATTAAGAAGGGTTAGAGAAAACTTCCAGTGAAAGAAGGTATTTTACTTGGGACTCATAGGAAGGTAGGAGGAGTAGAGGAAGAAGAGTATTTTAGACACTGGGGACAACCCAGAGCTGAAAGATAGAGTGTCTTATTTATGAAACAGCCAGGAGGCCAGTGTCACCAAAGAGAAGAGTATATGTCAGCGAGTAAAGTGCATGAAAATTAACTAGGTTATGAAGGACTCTGAATGCCAACCAGAATTTCATAGAGTTGATCCTGGAGGCAGTAGGGAGCCACTGGATTTATTGTGTAGGAGGGTGACATAGTCACACCTGTTCTTTGGGAAAAGCACTTTAGTGACTGACTGGAAGATGGACTGGAGCGGCAAGACTTGAGGCACAGAGACCCAGCAGCAGCTAACAAAATAGTCCAGGAGTGAGGTGATAAAGACCTGCACTAAAGTGGTGGCAGTATCACAGGAGACATAGGGACACATTTAAGAGATGTTACAAAAGTAAAATCAAAAGGCCTTGGAAACAGAGTGCATATGGGAGTGAGAAAGAGTGAGTGAGGAGTACAATTCCCAGGTCGTAATCCTGAAGGACTGGGAGGATGGTGCTGCCCTCTCTAGCAATAGGGAAGTGGTGGGGGAGGAGGGTTTAGAATAGACCTGCACAACTTGGCAATCAGTAGGGGTCAAAATTTAAATAGGCTAAACTTCTTAGGGCCCAGATAGGTTAGACTAGAGACAGATTGATGATGGACGGTTGCCACGGGTCAGGTAACAAACAGGAGAAAGTACACAGTGGCCAACCCTACATTTTTTGCAGGCTGCTTTGGCCAGCCAAGCAGTCCAAGGGCCATACGTTGTACAGGCCTGGTTTAGAAGGAAAGATAATGCATTCAGTCTTGGACATGTCGAATTTAAGATGATTGCTAGACTTCCAGTTCAAGATATCTGAAAGGCAAACCCCCTTCCTTTTATAGATGAGGAAATGAAGACCTAAAGGGATCAGCATACTTGCCCGTGGTCACAGGGATAGTAAATACCAAAGCAACGACTCAAACCCAAGTCATCTAGTTGCCAATGATAGCCAGAGTTTATATGGTGCTTTACTTGTGGAATAGGTGGCATTTTACCCTTGTTTTATAGATCAGGGAATTTAGGCCAAGAGGAGTTGTGACCTCTCAGAATCACAGTCAGTGAATGTCTGTGTGAGAAATTAGTATTTCTCTTTTATATTTAATAACTAATTATTGAATTAGGACCAATGTTTTTCCCCTTTTCTATTTCCTCATTCAGAAATTGGATCCAGTGTGGGATTTACCCAAGCCAAAATCTAATTAGACAGTAAAAGAAATTCTAATTTTAGGCTAATGGGTGCATTCCAGCTCATTGTGTTTGCCCAGACAGGTCTGGGGAGTGTTGATTCTCCCTTTTGTCGAGCAGGTGATATGGAAATTGATGTCTCCTTCAGTCAAGATTTGGGTGACCCAAGTCAAGTACCCCAAAGACCCTCATTTTATTATAGCCCACCTCCCATTATAATAATATTCATTGTCTTGTTGACCAATCAGAGTTGTTTTCACCCTCAGGTGCACCCCTTGTTCAAAACACTTTGTAAGTATCAAAGGCTCAAGAGGTTGGGTCATTTGGCTACTGAGGGGACAACGACCCTGTTTTAGATGACTGCTTTCTATATGTAGTCAAAACTGATTTTAGTTCATCCAGAAATTTGGGTGAATTTCTCAGAATTTTTTAATTGTTACATCTGAGGCAAGATTTGGACTCGGGTCATCTGCACTCCAAATGTAGCACTTCTTCACTGTGCATCTGGCTGCTTCAATCCAGCTAACCCAACCTTTGTGATGTAATTGAAAGTACTACAGCTTTTTTGTTTGTTTGTTTATTTGATAATAAAAAAGAAGTCTCACTCTTCTGACGTGAAGGTCTTTTATAAGAGAAGATTTGGAAGAAAAGGGTTGGAATAATTTATGAAATTAATTGAACTAGTCATGTAGTGAGAATGAAGGATAATGGATAATATACACAGATGCACAGTGGGTGTGCATCTCCTCCAGTGTCAAAAGATTTAGAGGAATTCTCCATCCCCTTCCATTCTCCAATTTCCTGCCCCTCCCCTCCGACATTTGGTAGATGTGGGCAGATAATTCACAACAGGATACCAACAAAAGCTACACGGGTGGAGAAAGCGCAAATGGCTTTCAGCATCAACCATTGGATCCAGTACATATAGCAAGAAAATCATGGATGCGCTCAAGTATGGAAGTTTAAATTTTTTTAATGAAAATTTTTTGAGTCATTTCCTGAGAATATGCATTGATTAAAAGAAAAAAAAAAGACTTTCCTACCTCAGCTGCATATTTCTTCCCATTCAAAATGTGCTCAGAGCCCAGGCTCCCACTGGAGCCCCAGTGAAAATGAAATTGGATCAACCGGTAGTTCCCAATCAGGGGTCCTCCAATTAGCACTGAAATACAAAGAAATCATGTTACTGTCCATAATAAAAATTTCCCATGTCCAGACTGGAGTTAAGAGTGCAAGGCTTACTTTGTTAGTAATGCTTCTACTCAGTGAACAAGAAATTCACTCAGATTTGTTCTGCTATGCTGAATTAATGCTTGGTTTTAAAAAAAAAGAAATCACTCAAAATGCTTTTATATAGGATACTTAAAGGCACAACTCATACAATAATATTTAATTTAGCCTGTACTAAAAATGGTGCTAATTGACCAAGTTTTCCCCCACTTTATTGTTATAACTAATATAAACATATATATATATGTATACATATATAATATGTATACACACACATATATAAGCCAAGTCAGTTACACTAATTTTGCATTCTCCCCATTCTGATTTTTGTTTTGTTTTTTATAGATCTTTGCCTGTTTTGATCAGTTTAGCCAGGTGCACAGTTCATCTCTTTACTTCAATTACACTTGTTAAGAATAAGGCTCACAAAGTTAAGTATTTCAAAACAAAAGATAGCATGTTTTAGTTTACATAGTTTTCCAGAGGGGAAAAAAGAAAGTAAAGCCCAAGTAAAGAGATTCTTTGAAAAATATCCTAGAGGCAATTGAAAAGTGGGTCTGGAGAACTGAAGAGAGGTAATGTCTGGAGATAAAGATTTGGAATCCACAGAATTGAGCTAATAAGGAGTTGAAGCCTTCAGGGTGAATAAGATTGCCAAAGGAGATCTGGTAGGGAGGTGAGAGAAGAGGATCTTTTTTTAAAGGGTCCAGAAGAGGACAAAGTCAGCAAAGGAGACAGAGAAAGCAGTTAGAGGAAGAAGGAAAACCAGGAAAGTATGCATCTGAAACTAAGGGAAAATCCAATGTCCAGCTGCAGAGAGGTAGGGGAAGATGAGGACTGAAAAAACGCCACTGAATTTGGCAGTGAGGAAGGTCACTAGGAGGGAGGGAAGGGAATACACATTTATTAAGCACCTACTGTGGGCCCAGCACTGTGCTAAGTCCTTTACAAACATTATGTCATTTCTCATGATCACAAATGTCTCATTGGAGACATTTCAAAGAGGAGTTTCAATCAAATAATTAGAAAAGAAGTCTCACTGCAAGGGGCTGAAAAGATGACATAGAGGGAGAAACACAGGACAGACTTTTTTTCCAGATTAAAAGGAAGATTAAAAGGACACTAATTTGGATTAGGGAGATCTACTCGTATTTGGTATTGAAGGAGCCAATGTAATAAGACTGAAAATACAAAAGAGGAATCCCTTCTTGGAGGAAGAAGGTCCTTGAGAAAGAGTAAGGAAATGTGATCTGGAGGACTGGCAGGGAGGGACTGTCCTAAGAGAGAAATAGAGAAGTCTTTTCTGTGACCAGAGGGAAGGAGCATGTTTAGGGATTTTAAAGAACGAAACGGAGTCCGAGTATATATAAAAACAGGGCCAGCCCAAAGCTGAATGGTTAAGTAGATACAATTTTGTCCCCTAAGCCCTCCCACCTCTCCTAGCCAAGCCTTCTCTGCCAAACCTCTTCCTCCTAACATTCAGGCCTCAAGGTTCTCAGGGCTCCCTTTCTGGTCTGACTCAACTTATGAGGAAGACCTAAATTCACATCTCCAGTCATCCTCTCTCATCATTCTCTCCCATGTCAAAACTTATTCAATGCCTCATTGTTCTGGGAGCCACTATCAGTTAGCTGTCAATTATATATTATTAGGTAAATGATCACTATTATTAGATAACAAAGCTTGAAGGGTCTTTTGCTTTTCTTTGTATCCCCAGGAATTAGCACCCATCTGACTGCAGTAAGTACTTAATAAATGTTAGTCGACTGAAGGAAGTGTTGAACTCCAGCCTAGCCTAGAAGTCAGACAGTCCTGGGCTCAAGTCTGATATCAGACACCTACTAGATGCACGACCTAGAATTACAGACCTTCTCAGTGCCCCCCCCCAAGCCACCCTCTAAATGGAAAATGTTCATTGTGATGTAGAGGAAGTTTTTAAGATGGTAAAATCCTACAGGAATGAAATCACCAATTCTGACAATCCCAGCCCTCTTGTCCATTGAGAGAAAAAAAAAGTATCCTGACACAGTTGGGGTTAACATGGCTCTCTATAAACATGAATTTGGATATATTCTGTTCAAATCGTATCTCTCCAAACAAAAGAATTGCAAACAAAAAGCTGTTGTAATAGGATTGGCCTATAAAAGAGACATTATACCTATATTTAAGCATCAGCTATTCTTCAAACGAAAAACAAAACCAAGATACTATTCTTTCATAAAATGCAATATAGTTTTTTAAATGACTTAAAAATTAGCTTTCTGAAATATACAATGTAATAATCTGTTTGCTTTTAAACTAATGGATTGCCTAGTCATTATATGGGAATTCTGTTTATAAATATCCTTATGTTACCCCCATGAAACTAACACACTTGGATGGCAGACCGACATGTCAAAATGAATTAAATAAGATCATGTCAAGAAAATGACTCAATCAATCTTCTTTAATTCATCTAAGGCTTATTTTCCCCCTTGGATGAATCCTGTCAGTCTTAGGTTCTAAGTTGAATAAGCCTTATTACAGGGGGGTTTTTAAAACCTTTTTTGTGTGTGTGTGATTTTCAAATCTTTGTCCATTTATTTTGTATTTTAAAAAACCCAGTAAATTAAAAAGTAGTGAATATCAATTCAGAGTTGACTCCATTAATATCCTAAACCAATCAGGCTTAATATTTAAACACTTTTTCTGTGCTTATCTATTGTAACCAGGAATCATTTTCAGAACAAGATGCTCCAGGTTAGAAAATTCTCTCCTGCCTTAAAGACTTTTATGCAGCTAAGACCCGCAAACAAATGCTTATAATTTAGTTGGTGCAAGAACCTGCACTTCCCGCTTTTTATTCAATTAACTGTTTCTTAGAAACTTTTTAAGTCTGGAGCCAAATTAACAGCAGCCTGGGTAGCCAAAGCATGCCATGAATTCTTCTAAAGGTAAATTAACATAAATGCTCAAACTCACTTAAAAGTACTGCAGGTCCTTTTATTTAAAAAAGAGAAAGGGGTATTTGGGTTAAAGGTAACTAAGCACAAAGCACATGTTTGTTCATTTTTAAGGCCAAATAATGCTATCTTGGCCTCTTAATGAACATTTTCTAAACTCTTGTCATTTCAGAGAAGAAAGATTTCCTGAGGAGAGGTGAGGAAAGATAAAGAGACTCTATTTAAAAATAAAATTTGAGGGGACTAACTAGTAACAAACAACCCCAAAATCAAGACCGGAATACAAACAAATGAGATCCCTAGGAGGGGTGTAGAAAAGAGGATATGACTTTCTACTTTACAAAGGAATGAGACACCTGAAAACAATGCAAATGAGAACATCAGCCCCAACAGCTCCCGCTGACCTAAGGTTGACATTCCGGTATACTGTACATTGCAAGTACTCAGGAAGTCCAAGAAAACATATTGCTGAGTAATTCCTACATATAAAAGGTCTAATGTAGTAGATAATATATAAGGAAATTATATGTATTACATACAAACAGCACATGTCTAACTAGTTTAGTGTTTGAATTCTAAAAAAAAATGGGCTGTCAATGAGCAAGGAAAAGTAAACAAAGTTTTGCTTGTTTCCATGCATTTTTTTCCTCCAGCTTTCTGGTACATATGAAGAACAAGTACACTCTGGTACATATGAAACATAGAAGAAGGTGGGAAAAAGTTTTCAGAGAAAAACAGAATGTCTGGTTTGGGGAACTCATCCATAGGGTTTTTGTGTATATATACATATCAGTTTAAAAATACATAGACTCTACTAATTGTATTCTGAGGATAAAACAAATTTTCTGTTTTAAATAATAAAGCCAATGAAATCATAAGGAATTAACAGAAAATACACTGAGGCCACAATGCCTTTGTAAATAAAATTTGTTTTTGTCATGCTAATTAGGTTATTATTTAATTTGAATTTCTAAGGAATGATATGGCAGAAGAGCACTAAATTTAGACTAAAAGAATTCAGGCTCAAATCCGGGCTCCACTAATAACCGCGGACAAGTCCCTTTAGTCTCTGTGCACCTCAGTTTCTTCATCTTTAAAACGAGCATCTTGAAAGCTGCAAGAGACCTTAACTGGAGGTAATTTCTATTTTACCTCCAACTAAGGTCTCCTGCAGCTTTCAATCTAATACCCATTTACCTATATAAATTAATCAAATAAAATTCTAAAAGTGAAATTGGCTTTTAAAAAAAAGAGTTAGCCATTGTTATTATAACCAAAAAGCCAAAAGGGCTGAGCTGAATTTCCTTTTATTTTCTCTATAGATGCCAATATATAGGCAAGTACACACATAGCCTGTAGGAGTAATGCTGTTGTCTTTCTAATATCTGTTCAAAGCATGGTTTAGAGTTAGTTCTCCATTTCCATTAGGTCAATTCTCCACAAGCCTGTGCATACATTTTGGGGGAGGGGTGAGGCAATTGGGGTTAAGTGACTTGCCCAGGATCACACAGCCAGTAAGGATTGTTCTGAGGGCACATTTGAACTCAGGTGCTCCTGACTCCAGGGCTGGTGCTCTATCCACTGCACCACCTAGCTGCCCCCTGTGCATACATTTTTGCATGTACGGGGGGAGGGAATTCTAACAAATTATAGTTAGTGAATGTTAATTGTCCCTCTAATCCAACACTCCAAGAAAACATCTTTGTGAATCATTAATAAGAAAAAAAATGTTAATGAAGGGGATTGTGGCTTGCTAAACAAATGGGCAATACTATGAAAAATAGAAAGTTGTATTTAAATTATTTACCAAAAACAATAGGTTATTGTTTTGGATTTGGTCAGCAATCTTTAGGAATAATTATAAAAAAACAACAGGAAATGTTTTCTGGATAGTAAGGGCAACTTTGTAAAAATGAAAATGTCATAACAGAAGTCCTGTCTTAAGTGCCCTACCAGAGAAGAACAAGAAGACAAACTAGTGTTTGGCATA